ACACGCTCTCACTCAGGGGGGCAGCCATGATTGGCCACAAATGACATCTGAGTAAACAGCTGGGATCATTCCGGCTGCTGATTGGCTGCTGAGCTGAGCTGTTGAGCAGCAGCTCAGCTGGTTTGAATAGAGCTTCTTTGAAAACATGCCATGCACACACAGTAGGAATATGACAAATATCTAAAGCAGTCGAAACAAAAGCCCTCCCGTAGAAATGCTCACTTAGTGAAAAGTTCAGTGGTACGACAATAAAGTGATGCAGCAAGTGGGCAGTTGATTTTGACAGACAGGTGATTAAAAGATTGTTGGGTTTTGTTTTCATTTATGTGCTTGTTTTATCATTTGTTTTTACACTATCTTGTTAACTGAAAACTACTTGTAAACAGGAACAAGTTAGAAATAGAAAATTATCCAGATTAGGACTGCATGATGGTGCAACTCAGCTAACCGAGTTGCCGCTCACAGTGAGAGGGTTTTCTGTTTGAGTCTCTACTCAGCCTTTCTTGTACTCCCTGTGCGAGAGTGGGTTTTCTCTGGGCACTCCAGTTTTTACCAAAAACAGAAAAGACAGCACAGAAAGACACAAAGTATAGCAGTGTATGGTGAAAGTAATGTACAAAAACATGAAAACATTTTGATAAACAGAATAATTCAGGAGAGACTGAACCCATTTAAGAACAGAAGCCACCAAAACACACGGTAAATAAGTACGTATCCGTCATGATGTGTCAATCTATCATAATTTGAATATAAAGAATAACTGTCAACAGTAAAATCATTAAACACAGTCACAATTTTGAGAAACAAAAAAATTCTTATCCATTGGATTGCACACTATTTTCAGGATGTTAGAAAGAGTTTTTGAAAATGGGCCAGATTATACATTGAGATAGATTCAATTCAACCACTATGAATCTAAACATATTAGGATGCTAATGTTCATCTACAAAGCTCAACATTAAGCATGTAAACAGTAAAAGCTCAGTGTTAGCGTTTGCACCAGCCACACATTTACCACACAGATGTGGAACTTGTTGTACTTCTTGTACTTTGCAAGCCCAAGAAAATGTTCCCAGAGCATCTTACTCCTCCTTTAAAGTAACACATTGAATGCAGGTCACTGTTTCTAACATATAAGCCCTGAATCTGTTTTTTTCTATTAACCCAGCGTACTCTTTGTTTTTTGGAGAAGGTTCACAGAAAATAAGCACACTGTACCGGAAAGTGTGCACTACCTGTGTATGGGATGCTGTGAGACCATTTCAGAGCCGAGCAGCAAAGAACAAAGGGATGCCGAGATAGGATCCCAGTGCCACACCCTCAGGCTGCAGAGCCAGGGCCTTTATGGCAACCTTAGTAAAGCTGGTTGATACACTCTATACCCAAGAATCCCCTTTCATCTTCCATGGCACAGGGAGAGCCAGAGAGCCACTGAAAAGACTGGGTATTCAGGAGACTACTCACAATGCAATGAAGGAGGGCTTTTGGAGAAAAGAAGAGAAAGGGGGTTGGTGAAGTTTAGGGGAAACAGTGGATTACAAATGGAGCAATAACATGGGATTGATACTGCAGCTACTTGAAGCACATTTCCATAGAAATATCCTAATTGGTGAGTTAAAGCAGTTCGAGAGGTTCTCCAATTGTGTATCCCAGCACCAAAGATAGGAATATGCTGAATGCAATGATTCTTGACACGTTAAGTGGAAGGAATAAACAGGATGAAGCTGAAACCCTTTTCGTCTTAATCAACTCTCTGTGAAGGTGGATTAGGATGTTTCCTTTAATAATTTCACACGGGATTGAGGAAAAAATTGTCAGGCTCGAGTTTGATAGATCAATTTGCAGCCCTTCCAGCAGGCTTTTCCTCTCCTTTCCTATTATAAAATCCTTCAGAGTCTAAAAGCATAATCTATGACACGCTTGATCTGCTATTCATTTGAAGTGTCATAGCATCTTGCTTTATCTCCTGACATGGCGGAGACCTCCTCAACACCAGTGGTTGCTAGGAGATATTTGCTATATGTCGAGTCATTTTCACGGTTATTATGGCCCCGCATTAGCTACCATAACACTTCAGCCTCCTCATTAATGCACATGTTACTGTCGGCTAAACTACCAGCTGTAATCTAGATTACCACAGCGTGTCTTTATTATACAGGGTAATTCATCATGCCTTCCCCATTTCCATATCATATCATGTCATGTGTTTCCACATGTGGATGTCATCTTAGGTCATGCCAAACCACCTCTACACTCTGTTTTTGTACAGCAACACACAAGTAGCACATTCTCGCGGAAGCAAAGCCAGATTTGCACGCTGGCACCCCACACATTCACTGCTGTAGGCTTTTTTTTCCTCAGGCACCTGGATAGCAAAGAATCATCCTGAGAGAAACTTATTCATTTGGGATACATGCACATACCACTTTCTTGAGACAACCCCACATTCCTGAGGCTGAGTGGAATAAAATTGTTAGGGTACTCTGGTTTTCTGGTAGTTTTGAGGCCTCAGAGGATTCCAATGCACCGTCTCTTTCTGACCTCCTTTTCCCCCCCTTTGTGAAAACGTGAGACTCTGGCGATTTATCTGCATTAACCACATGGCTGACTGAAATTAGGGCAAAGTAAATATGACTGATGTCATTAACTATGGATTACCACTGTGTAATTTGAGAACTGAAGCTGTGTATTTGCAAAAATCCACATGGAGTGAGATCAATGACATTATGTTAAAATATTTTTGAAGAGAGCCATGAAGTTAAGGGAAAAACTAACCTGTTCTGGTTAAAAAGCTGAGTCTCTTCCCTGATCGTCCTCCCATCCTATCAGACATGCTGCATTTGTTAAAGCCCTCCACATACATCACTCTGAGTACTCAGAAATGAAACCGGAGAGACAAATACAAACTTTTCCACCCACAATATACTTTCATGCTAGAAAATAGTAAAACAGCCCTGGCGCAGTGCTGCTGTGACATTTATATTTAAACACTCAGATATAATGGCTTATATTTTCATTTTCTTCAAAAGAAACCAATTTAGTTTGAATGTACACTCTGAAGCTGTAATGCTCAGACTGAAAAATATTCTTTATCTCTTAAATTGTGTGATGATATGGTTAGAACACAAACTGAGAGACTTCAGTTAGTACATTCCCTTTGCTTCATTTGAATCCTCACTCAAATGAAAATGTGTTATAACAACATTAGTCTAAAGCCTTAATTTATTAAACAATAAAGGTCGCAGAATTGTGATGTTATTTTTTTTCTTTTATTCGCCTCTCTTTTCTGGAGGTTTGTATCCGTGTTGCATGACTGTTGTGTTTCTTTCTCTGCACAGACAGAAAAGACCAAAAAACTGAAAAGCCTCAAAACCCCTCTTTGGAAATGGAAATGATGGAACATTTTTCATTAAGAAGACCGGGGCGTTTTTCAGTTTTCAACTTAGTTTTGGTTGTTAACAATTCATGTTTTTAGTTACATCATTCACGGTTTTCACACAGTAAGGCTGTGATTCTCCCCTGCTTATCAGCTCTATTCACATGTGGGTTCATTTTTAGGTTTTTCAGACTCAAATGACAATAGAGCTGTTTGAATCTTAATGTTTTTGCTCACATGTTTAAAAATGCGAGCACTATAGGACATGTCTATAAATACCATTAATTTTTTTAATTTCCAGTTCTATGACTTAAGTTTAGAAGCAAGCCATTTTTGTAACCATGTGCCTAAAACACATGAGCACACATACCTGAATTGTATTTCTAGATGAGCCATGATTAGCTTAACACAAACAGGTTTCTGCTGTTAATGTGAAGGTAGTCTATCTGCAATATTTAGCTTTGCTATCAATGTTAACATTATTCTGTCAGTTGTCCAGTCTGTCATGATATAGGGCAGTGATTTTGGACATTTCTATGTCAACATGACTTGATTCTGACCACCGCAAAGGTTTCATTCATCTTTTAACTCATTGTCTCAGAGGATGTTATTAGATATTGAATGATCTGGTCCTCTATGTTTTCTCATAATTGGTGTTGTCAGTGCAGTTGTAGAATCAGCTTTTAGATCTTTTCAAATATGATTGTATTTATAGATGTAATGACTATTATAATAAGAAAAGGAGCTAATATGCATGGCAAAAAAGGAGCACGTGGTTCCACGTGCCAGAAATCTGCACTCCATCTGCCAACAAGTGTTAATTCTTGCGGTTTCAAAAGACACTTGAATCACTGTAAATCACTATTGTGTAAATGTGAGTTAGTGACTTTAGTAATAATTGTTGTAATGTCTTAATTAATTAAGGGTAATGTCAAGAGAGCAGGATAAGAATTTTGACCAGACTAAGGGGTCACTGGCCATCTACTGGTTGATAATAAGCTCAAAGGTCACAATCACATCCCAGTTCATTCATTGTTTTTACTGAAATAAGACTTGGGAGAGTTTTCTTGAGTAAAAAAAACTGTAGAAGTACCATTAAATGTCAACAAAACTTCATGTACATCCATCAAACGTAACACACTAAAAAATATAGACTAAATCTCTGTTATGGCGGATAAAAATAGAATAGCTGGATCACCGTTGTGTTAGAGCTAATGAGTGTTTTTATAATTATGCCCTGTATCTGGGACAATGTTTTCTTCCCATGATTTGAATTCACCCTAAATAAACAACTAAATAGGAGACCGAAGATGTGCTCTTTAGCAGCTAATGATACCACGAAGCAATAACTGAAGAGCATCTGCAGCAGTTTTTTACATCAAGAAAAAGGCATTTCTAATCCACTGAAATGAAAATAAATATAACCGGGATAATATGCTCTCTTTGTGTTTACATGACTTGCTGGAGGTCGCAAAGAATCACTCAATATCCATTACCATAAGGCATAAAAGATTGATTTATTTTATTGCTTTTCATGGAGCGCCAGAGGCAGGTAAGTAAATTTGACTTAGTCTGGAATGTGAAGTTGAAACAACTCCACACTTTGTTCGTGATCCACCTAACCTGATGTACAGTGCTGCCTGCATGGACGGGGTTTAGTCTACATAAATATCACAGCACAGCAAAACATGCCCCTGTGTTGTTGTTGTTGTCCGTCCTTGAAAGGAGGACACTGAACCTTTGTACAGCTGCATTATCGCTGTCTGACGTGCAGGAACCCCACACAGCCTACCAAGCCTCTCTGGAAACCACACCTCTACCAGGCTGACCCACAGTTCAACAACTTTTCACCAGCATCTGTTGCTCCACTAACCCAGTATCCCAACAGCTGCCAGTATAAGAGCACCCCTTCATGCGACCGCTGTCAGTTCTAGTCGGGGTATCACGCTGGTTTACTTCGAAAGGAAGATTTGTCATCCTCTGTACCCAAGGGATTAAGCCTGAGACCTGACTGGTAGACATCATATCTATTTTCATAAAGATCTAATGGGTTTGAATGTGAACTTATTACTGAATATGAACATGTGTATTTAAAAAAAAGGTTTAAAGTCTCTTTGAATGTCGATTTAGATGCTGTTGGTGTACAATGGCACCTTCTGAGTCACGCTTTTTGGCAGTCAAAGTATTTCTGTTTCTACTTTCGTTTCAGCCCTGCTGCCGCCTGATCTGGGTCTGAACCGGACGAGGGGGCGGTGGGACGGCGCCACGTCATGTCATCCGCCGCCTTCTGATTGGCTGCCGCCTCTCACCCGACACAGCTGTGATTGTTTTCTGCAGAGGAAGCTCTTGTTCGCGGTATGAGCGCTGTGCGGTGGAATGAAGCCACACTGTGTTTCACCCCCTCCCAACGCGCGTCTGTTTACTAAAGATGATGTGAGCAAACAACGTGATAGCAAGCCTTGTTGTGAAGCTCAGGAAAACAAGGAGGGGATCCCGGGATAAGCACCGCCCGAGGCGAGAGGAGCGAGAGGTTCCCCCGTTTGAAACGCTGAAGACGACTGGAGATCAAGGTAAGGACCAACAGTCGTGACCCTTTTTGTCTTCTCTCATCTCTCAGCCCCTCTCGGCGTCCTGACACAAAGTCCTCCCTCTGCTTAGAGTCAAATGTGTTTTGTTTCCAACCGGCAGCCCCGAAGTGCCAAATGTCCAGACTAGAGAACCACTGCTGGAGCTGCTCTTGTTCACCGAAAGCCGAAATCAAGCATTCGTCTGGCGCCAAGTGGTTCGCGTCCCGAGCTGAAGAAATGATGTCCATCATCACCACGGTGCTGAGCAGCGCCTACGGCTCCCTGCACGACGTCCGGACCGCCAACCTCATCCGCCGGGGGCTGGTCCTCTTCACGGTCGGCGTGTTCCTCGCCCTGGTCCTCAACCTGCTGCAGATCCAGAGAAATGTCACCCTGTTCCCCGAGGAGGTGATGGCAACCCTGTTCTCGTCCGCCTGGTGGATCCCGCCTTGCTGCGGAACCGGAGCAGGTGAGTGGCCGACAAGCTGATGGAAAAGGTTACGAATGGGTGCACCGAGCACTTTTTACACCGTTTATTAGAAATGAACTGCTACATTTGAGAGACAGGAATGTAGAGGGAGGAGGGCTCACAGTGCCTGGGACTTCTATTTATGGATAGAAAATGATCCTCTCATTCATTTGTAATGACTAAAAGTTGGGGGATCCCTTCTGTGGGGAGTGTTTTCAGTACACGTCTAAATAGACGGTGAACGGAGCCATTTTTAGCGAAATACGACAGAATCGTGTCACCATCCGTGAATGACTTAAGTCATCGGCTTTTTTAGCATCACATGATGGTGTGTCATCATTCGGGTTTGCGTTTATTAGCTATTATATAAGCATTCTTCTCTCAGGCAACACGAGTCCTTGTGGTTTTGTCTGGCTGCCAGTTATCGAAAAACCTGACTCGGTGCAGATGGTGGAGATTCTTGATCTCTGATTGGTCGCAACAACCGGACACTACGTGAGCTCAACGCTCATTGGCTGGTGTCATAACGGGTGAGATGAGGGCCTTCCCTTTTTTAAGGCCAAGAACCAGGAAGCTGGAGAAAAAAAATAATAAAACATCCGTGTTAGGCTCCGCCTCACATGTGCTGTGGGGAAGGAAACAGACCCGAACAAAAGGGATATAGCGTCTATGTTTTCACGGTCTGTGAACTTAAGCAAGCTCCTCATTAAAGCCTCATTGCCAAGAAACAGCTTATTTGAGGTTTATGTCAAATTAGTACATTAAGTTCTCCGAAGATGGTTGGGAAAAGATTATACTTATGTCCCCTTCCTTCAATAATTGCAAAATTGGAATATCTTGCTTTGCTACTTATTGCATGTCCATTTACTTCAAATAGATGTGATTGTTGTGCTGTTTTATAATAAACTGCTAAAGTTTCATCATGTTTCATTAGGCCAAGTGCCTCGACATACACAAAGCAAACCTGTGTTAAACTGACCAGTCAAACACGAAAACAAATTTAAGACACAAAATAAGTCAACTTTAAAGTTTATGTATTTAGCAGACGCGTTTATCCAAATTGACTTACAAAGCCAGAGCTACCCCCCGCCCCCTTGTGCAGTTTACATTTGCAAGTGTTTTAAGCATATGCACAGCTTGTGTACAAATGAGTCACTAAGTATGGAAACACAAGCTCAGCAAAAATAAGAGTGTCTTGCAACAGCTCTGATGGGATCTTTTCTCTCTGTGGTTCGAGGAATTTCTGCTTATCGTGTGTAATTCTGGTCTGTGTGTTCCTTTTTACAGCTGTTATCGGCCTGCTGTATCCTTGCCTCGACAGCCATTTGGGGGAGCCGCACAAGTTCAAGAGGGAGTGGGCCAGCGTTATGAGATGCATTGCAGTGTTTGTGGGAATCAACCATGCCAGTGTTGTATCCTTTCCTCTGCAAACTCAGTTACATCTTAAGTAGTCCTACATGACTTTTCTTTTGTCATAGTTCAAACCCGTGAAAAGATCGGTACAATAACCTGCTTTAACGTTTTGACGTCAACTCTCGGTGCAATGAGCCGGTCATTCAAATATTTGAGTAAGAACTAATTGCATGTCACCGTGGAACTGTTCGACTTTGCCCTTGACTTACCGTTACACAGAAACTAGACTTTGACAACAACGTGCAGCTCTCCCTGACGCTGGCAGCCCTGTCCTTGGGCCTGTGGTGGACATTCGATCGCTCCAGGAGTGGCTTTGGCCTGGGCATTACCACCGCCTTCCTAGCCACCGTTATCACGCAGCTGCTGGTCTACAATGGCGTTTACCAGTAAGTCTGCAGGCTTCTGTAAATGGTACAGCACCTAGGAACAGCCGTGTTAGCGGGCCAAATTAAACTAAACCCAGCTCTGGAAGAATAGAATGCCACAATACTTGGAATCACCTTTCTTCTTAAAGCATGCAAACCTCTGAGGTCTATTTAAAGGGAAAGTCTTATCTGTTGGATTCCAGTTGATAACCCCTTAATGGGAATTTGTGACATGACGAGTCAAAGCATGCAATATTGACAGGGTTAAAAAAGAAAAACTATCTGCATGCTCACACAGTGTCCAAGAGAGAGGAATAAGGTAAGAAATGGCTGTAGACGTTTGGGGATAACAGCATATGTTCTTTTTTATTTAACTTCTGCAAATACAAATGGATTGTTGTACAATATAAAGCAGAGAATTCGGTTTTAATTTCAGCTGCAGGGTTTGAAGAGAACAGCAAAGCAGAAAGGCCCTGAAAGAATTGAAATCCATTTGCCCTACAGTGTTAACAAGGACCTAACAGAATGCTTTTTTTCTCTTCTTCAGGTACACCTCTCCAGACTTCTTGTATGTGCGCTCCTGGCTCCCGTGCATATTCTTTTCAGGCGGGGTTACTGTGGGTAACATCGGACGCCAGCTTGCCATGGTAACGTCTGCTGCCAATTTTAATCTGTAATCCACTAAGTGAAGGATCAGACGGATGCATTAATGCCTTTGCATGCTGTTGACTCCGCCTCAGGTCAAATTAGACATAATTCCTCACCTCAGCCTGTCTTAAGAACGTTGCCCTTAGACCAGTATATCAGCACAGGCATTTTCTTGGCTCCTTAGGGATCCCCTCATCAAGCTGCAGTTGCTCCGCTGTATTTGCTCACACTCATCAGCCAGAATCAGCATTTTGGCATCCCATTGTTTTCAGATCTAATGTTGGCAATAAGTTACTGGTATGACAAATGGTGATGGACTTAAGATAGACCATGGCGTTTGACCAGGTCCACGCATTCAGAAATCCTCCTAATGAGGGAAATCCTCCCGTTGCCTTTCATTGAAACCAAAGTTTGCTATTACACCGTATTTTCCGAAACCAAACAACTGAGTTACAGGTCTCAAAGTTTGGCCTTTAACATACCTAAGATTAATCTTTTCCAACCTTGTACATCCAGTGTTTAGTCTTCTAACAACAGCCCAGCTAATGGACTGAAGAACCCGATACATGTACGAAGGCGTTTCAAACTAATTCCAGTTTGTATTCCCTAAAATAAAAACAAGGTTAGCCTGGAATCTGAATCTCTATCAGTCCAGGACCTCCTCATAACAGTCTCTGTGACATTCTAGAAGTTTTTTACTGGAGATATTTTGCACTACCCCTCTTCATTTATCACTGTCAGCTTCTGTAACCCAAAAAAAAAAAACACTTCAAAAGACGCCTCTGCACTGCGCGTGCTTTATTTGCAATTACACAGCTGAGCTACAGCGGCAGATAAGATTGTCAAACGGGTAAATTTGTGCGAAAAACATTGGAAGCCCCCCTTTACTTCATAATTATCCCATCAAGTCAGCTTTGATGTCTTCATTAAGCCTCTGCCCGGAAGCCTCACCTCATTCTGTCTGTAAAGTAAGAGTCCCGTCACTCCCTCAGTTTGACTCAGTGAAAGCGTGAAAGCAGATTAAGAGCTGTTGTTTTTCACAGTCGTGCCGAGACACAGAGCCAGTCAGGACTCGGCTGACCAGAGGGTCATTTGCTACTTGTTTTTGTTTGTGATGAGGCCTGAGGAATGTTGGCACAAGCTGGAACTCGTGGTTTGGTTCTGTGCTTTGCCCTCAGTCGCTCCAGTGGGTCATTTATGGGAAAGATCAGAGGGAACATGAGCTACTCCTTTTTTCTTTTTTTTTTTTAAATAGTTTTTTTTTCTCTTTTTGGCTTTTTTCCTTTCTTTTTAATTCAAGTTTAAGCCACTTACAGTGAAACAATCTCTTTAACAGAATTATCCATGCAGAGTTGTCAGAAAAAACTCGGTGGCTCCTTTGCTGAATAGATTTTTTTGTTGTTGTTTAGGAGGCAATTGGCTCCTAATTTTTCCATTTCACCAGTGATGAGTCGGTTGTTCGGTTTCAAATATTGCATGAGCGAATAAGCTTGCAAAGCTATTGTCGTCTATTTTAAAGAAAAGCGAGAAGTTGGGATGCAAAGGCGGGTTTAATTCATGCAGAGTTAGCACATTTTCTCCTTTTACTGCATAAAAAGGATCCACTTTTGTAAAAGAAATAAGGGAAGTTTGGACATTTATTTAAACGGTAGCAGTGTAGTCATGGTTACATGAAGACTGCTGATTTTAGAAAGTCTTTACAAAGACCCCAACATGAAGTGTCTGAGCCCTCTAAACCAGGTTTTCAGTCATAGCTGCTTCTCCCAGTGCAGACATGTTCCTTAACCTTGTGAATTTTCCCTCTTTTCGTGTGTAGCTGTTGCACAGTATATCCCTAATGCAGGACCTTCTTTGTCTTTCAGGGTGGCATCGAGAAACCCCACATGGACTGAACAGTGAACTGCACGGTGGCAGAAAAATGGACAGCAAGGCGATGGGCAGCCAAACTTCAAGTGGATTAATTATGTGAGGAGCGGGAAAAATGACTGGTGAAAGAAAAAGACTCTTTGTTTTTTCGTCTCTAGCCTTTGTTCTCAGTTGTCACGAGAACAGAGTGCAGGTACAAAAAGAAAAAAAAGCCCCTCCTCCGACGTGCCATGTCCTCTGCACTTCCATGCGGCCAAACAACCACTGGCTCCCGTCCGTGCCCTTCTCAGCATTAAGGCTTCCTTCACACGAGACGGGAGGACAGCGTTTGCCTTTTTTCTGTTTCCTTATTTGAAGTGAACAGTGAACTGCTTTCATTTTGTGTCCTGGTCTTAGCAGGAAAGACTTGTTTGAGTGTTTCTTCATTAGCCTGAGTTGAATATTATCATAAAAGGGAAATGTTGTTTAAGCGAGCACAAATATGTCTTGGTTCCCACACAGAAAAGTTTCTGTGACACAGGGGAGATGTATGTTCCCAATCAAACCAAATTGAGTATTTATTTTATGAGTTCTCTCTGACCCCAGACCAAATGTATCCGCGATAATGAATGATGCTGCTCGTGGTTCAGGAGTAGTTTTGGGAGATGTTGTTCTTTCTTTCTGCGAATTGCTGTGTGCCCACAGAAAGTGGGAGTAAGAGGAACCTTTTCTGGGGAGTTTTAAAGATTCCTTCAGATTATAGACTCGTGAGAAAGAGAAAAGTTAGTTCTCTGACGTGTGGCAAAAGCAACGAAAACGCACAACTGGCCTCAAGCTGCTTGCTGATACTCCAGAAAAACTGTACGAGAACGAGGCTTCACAAGCAAGGTACAGATGGCACAGAGCATGAAACATAGACGAGTCGGTCTTAATTCGCTGCTTGCTTGGGTTTTGGTTTTGACGCTGGAAACGAGACGAGCTGTAGCAGCAGATCAGACTCAAGGTTCCCACAGCCCTGTGGGAGACCGACCATCTGAACTTGTAACAAAACTGAGTGTGGTAGGACTGAAACGGACTGAAATAAAATTCAAGCGAACAGAACGTACAGAGGATATTTATCCCCTGAAACAGGCTGTGCTCAGACTTAAACCCTGCAGCTTTACAGGTAGTCGTCTGAGCACAGGGGTCCGCAGTCTGGCCCTAACTGAAGTTCTTGTTGTAGAAATGTTGCTTAAGAAGGGAACAGAGGAGAAACTGCCGGCTTTTGGTTTTCTACTGACGCAAGAAAACAGCCCTGTGGCTAGTTCGACTATACTCCAAAGAAGCCAAGGTAATTGAGCTACAGCTAGCTCCCAGATTTTATTTCAACATTGACTTTGACATCAAAAAACTTTTTCCAGAGTGTTTCCTTTTTATGGATTTGATGCAATAATGAGAGACAGGGAATATGTGCTAGTGGGCTTACTATCCGTCTTCTTCATGGATATGAGCATTTTCAGTTGTGTGTACGAGGTTTTCTGCGACAGATGTAAAAGCTAGCGCACTGGATTATTCTGTGGAACTAAATTGCATTTTCTGGTGAACAAGTATTCACTTTTTCAGCCGTCTGTCAGTACAAGATCACTTTATGTTTTATGACTAGTCCGTGATCTCTTTGAGTAATCTTTGAGAGGAGAGAGTTTGTATACAGGATGACGGCTTAGATGAGTAATAACACATGGACACTATTCTGGACTGAAATTATGTCAGTAATATGCAGAGGCCACCAAAGTGGACCGTGTTTCTGGGGGAATTTACCAGACATATATCCCGTGCTTTTCGTGAAATGGCACATTGATTCCCGCGTTAACTTTTTACATGCGTGTTATCACACACACATTTCCCACTTGCATCTTAGTTTTGGGAACTACAGATTGAAGGGGAGGGCACAACTTCTTAAAATTTGCAATCTGTGATTGCCTGTGTATTATAGAATGTAGTGCTTCTGTCACTATAACAGTTTAGGTTTATCATTTGTATGAAAAAAAAAAGACATTACTGCTTGTATATATAATGGCTTGCCAATATAATCAGACAGGTATTACCATAATAGGCCAACAGTATGTTAGTGTGTTGGGCTCTAGAGGATTAAGTGCAATCACACAGTACACGAGCCGATTATTCTTTATTTATTATTTCTGACAAAGGCTTAAAAAAAAGAAACTTTTTTGTATGTAATGCAGTGTGGATCATTCAGAAAAAGCAATAACATCTTTGTTTTTGTGAATGAGTTTTTGTCAGAGATCACATGCCTTTTGGGTTTATACCAATGACTCTCACCAGAGAGACGACATGAAAAATTGTGTTGTCAAACTGTTATTTAGATCTCATTTATAGCATTATGTGTGGACACCCCGTATAATTTTTTTTTTTAAATAATCTTTGTAGCAGACCACTTCAGGTTGAATCTGCTTTCATTCAGGTGTGCTAAACAGAAGAGGAAGCTTTATTTTTTTGAGGTGGTGAAGCACCTTTTGTTGTGATGTGTTAGAGTATCTTTGTGTCTGATATTTCAGTTGTGTGTTGTTTTTGCTACCTTGGATTTAAGTGAAAAAATAAAGAAAAAAAGAACATTCACATGAATGGCTGTTGTGTGTATTTCAGGGGCATTTTAAGGAACTAAAATGATGATTAATAAACATGAGCATAAAATAGCTGAGCACATATCCAAAAAGTATCCAAACAAAGACATTCCAACTTTCCATCTGTTGATATTTTACCGATACCAAAACATGAAAATTACTACTGGAAACCTAACTAATTAGATGTACAAACGGCCTCGGATCAACAATAGCCCTCTCATGTTATTGAGCTCCTGAGCTCTCAGTTGGAATGGAGCTGTCTGGTGTGCTGTTGATGGCACTTGTGTCTGCTGTCACGGCCAAGTTGAATAGATGAGGACGCTCCTTTGTCTCTGATCTCTGTCAGTCTTCGAAGCCATCATAATGTCTTTGGCTCCATCCTATCCCCCCCCCTTTCTCTATAACACCCTCCCAAACCAACAAAATGCCCCCTCCCCCTGTGTGTCACTGGGATCATGAGGAACTGCCCCCCGCCTTCTCCTTCCTCTGTCTACCCCCTCTCTGAACACGCCTTTCTGGAGGGCAGACTTCTATTTATACCTAGCGGGGGACTGACAGTTAACCTTTTGCACTGGGGGATATTTCTGGGAATGGGGCCAGTATCTGTGGGTTATTTTGAATCAACCCCTTATTCTGAGAAGCTCTCTGTACATCCATCTCTGCATCTATGTATCTATCTAACCATCCTCTCCTCGGTGTCTCTACTGGGGCAACGATCCAGCGCCACACGCCAGCTCTTTCCTCTGCTTCCTCAGTCTTTCCTCGGGCAGAATAATTGGCCAGGCTTCAACCTCCTTTCATTTCCAGCCACAGCAAACTGAAAGACTCCATTAGAGCACCTCCTTATTGCCAAAAGCGCCCCTTCTCTTCCCCCTCCTTGTTCCCTCTGTCCTTCCTTCAAGGCAATCAGACAAGCTGAGCAGGACCCAGTTCACATATTGATTTGCGCCATCTATAGGTTTGCACTAGCAGACATCTCTTTGCTGGACCTTTGTTGCTTTTATATTTCTGTTGTGCTGTTCACTAATCCGATGTAATGGGTCATCTGCCGGAAAATATGAAGACAATGGAAGTTTAAGAGCTACACAGCCCACACCACATTTTCGACCTCGCTTCTGGGTCTCAAAATCTTGTCTTTGATGAAATTGGTGGGAAATAATGTCTGTTTTGTGAAAAATTCTGAGTTAGAACAGGAGTAAAGATGTCAACAGCAGTTTTTATTGATTTCAGAAAACGTTATCACCGCAGCAGGCTGAAAGCTGTACAGGAAATAAAAGGGCAATAACTCAAATACCAACATCTGCACATGACAGGGCTGCAGTTCATGCATATGTTCAGAAAACTATTCAAGACTAAAAATATTTAACACAGTGACTCTGGAAAACATTGTAGAGACTGAAGATGAGTATGACCCTGTTTGATTAAACACATTTTGCCCCTCCCCATTATGATTATTTTGAAATAAAACACATTTATCAGCCTAACAAAAGGTGCTTTCTTGCAGTGATTTTACCTTAGAAGAAGTTTGCCCACCTTGCCATATATTTCATATAAAGATAAATTATTAGCAGATCCATCGAGGGAATCTTTGGTCTCTAAAATTTTCAGTCGAGTTTATATAAGATGCTCAAGGTTGAAGCAAGTAAATATGCTTCTGAATTCATACTTGTTTTCGCAGCATAGTCTTTTTTCTTCCCTGTTTTCTTACTTGAGCAGTTGACAAGCTCTCAGATTCCTCTAAAAGGCCTTTGGGGTCCTCTAAAAATCAAAGGTGTGGAGCCACCGGAGTGAACTATTAAACTAGAAAGACATTAAAGTTTACATCCAGCTTGTGCAGCTACATAAGAGAGATGCTGCTTTGATGTGTTAGCATTAATAAGGCACATAAAGCACTGACACGTGTCTTCTGTTCCTCCCAACAGAACATTATTCCAGAAAACATAGAACTATCTTCTTCGCACCCACCTATAGTGTCCTTCTTTCAGCTTGTCTCACCTCTTGCACGCATTTAAAATATGAAAAAAATAAATGTAAAGTTTTCTCAGGCTTGGTTGCCTTCCTTAACATCCCTCCCCGGTGTTGAACCGATGTTTGATCTTCATTGGCTGGTTGGAGTTATGTCTTCATATGTTTTGATGCACCAGGGAAGCCTTTGGTGGAGGAACAAGTGGAGGGGCAGACCAGTGGGAAGATATTAAAATACAGCTACCCTGGAGAGGTTTGTCATGAAGCACAGAACAGGATCACTTTTGTCCCCTTAGTAGTGATGGCCTTTGTTACCACCAGATGACAGTGTTTATCCTCTCAGCTTGTCTGGACATGACATCTATGGACCCCTAGTGGAGCAACAAGGAACAGAAATGTCTTGCAAGGCTGAAAAAGATTACCCTATCGCCCTGCAGCTGCACCTCCAAGATCTATATGTATTCTCAATCTCAACTTGTAAGTAAATCACTTGCAGAGAAGACTTCACTGATGTGAGAAAAACAAGTTTTGGACGTAAAAAATGTATTTCCAAGCAAGGAAATCGTATATAAACCTTAAGAAAATATATGTGTACATTTCCTGTAAAGCCTCTTAAAGCTGCTGATGAGCCGGCACTCTTGGATTCAAAAAGATAGTTTATTAAACAGTGACAGGAATCTTATTTCTGGAATATTTATCCCCGACTGCAGCGAGCAGGCTGAGTCACATGCATGATAGAAAAGGTCAATGGAATGGATTTAGTGTGGAGAAAATCATTGCACATTCTTATTTCTCAGCCAAAAGGTCTTCAGCAGCATTAATGTTCTGCTCTCTCTGATAGATAATGAAAGATTGTGTGTGTGCGAGTGTGTGCGGGTGTGAGAGCCGTTTAGGTCTTCTGAGTCTTCATTACACCAGAGCGGGGTCCACTCCTGTCCTCTGCCCTCGCTCATTGCCTTTCCCAGTGCTGGCCAGGAATAATGAATTACAGTGGATGCCATAGGGGGGCTGAGTGAGTGGCTCAGAAGTGGACTCCATTTTAGCTCAAATTACCTCTCAGATCCCATTCAAATGGCAGTCTCAGGCTGCTCTCTGCCTTCTCTATGTATTCCTGTCTAAAAGAGCAAATGATCCGTTTACCGCCTCTCCATTTACAGATTTAAGAAGCTGTGATTCCCACTTTTCTGGTGGTCATTCTGGTTAGATTCCATTAAGATATTCGAAAAGACCAAATAACAAGCATTTATTTAAAGAATGAAACAGAATCAGCTTTAAGATATATACAATAAGCAGCATTATCATCATCTTTGGGGAATTATCAGCTCAGTCAGCATGCTCAGCTATTCCTGTTGCACCACAGTCTTACTTCCACAGAACAATAACAAAATGTCAGCAGAAACCTCAGGTGATGACACATTATGCATGCCATCCAAAGAAATCCTTCCCAGTGTAAATTAAACACACCCACTGCATCTTACAGCACAGATCAGACTCTGTCAAATTGACCAGGGAAATAACAATGGCGCGTAATGGAATAAATCAAGGTGAGCATTTCCATGGCTTGATCTATCCTGACATGCAGACAACAACAACTCTGCATTCTGTGGACTAATAAACAAAAGGCCAGAGGTGTACCCCGGGCCTTCAGCCAAAAGATGAGCGCGGAGAGAGAGAATTCAATTCATGATTGAAGAAGATTAGTCATATTTGCAAATCTGGGTTGGGGTTTTAGACATTTAAATGACTCACCTTTAAAAACAACAGTGATTTGGTGAGCAAAACAAACAAAAGCCTCGGGTGCTGTTTTGTGACTACAAAGTAAATGAAACACCAACCAAAGCGAGACTGGACAATGCTTCAGCCTATTGTCAGAGAGAGGAGACTTTATGATCCACAAACAGCTTCCTGCTAAAAATTCAATGTTTGATGCGTTTAAATGAGTCCTTATTAACAGGAATAGGTAGAGGTTAAATAAAAGGGGGAGGAAGAGCATGCGTTCACCTCACTGCTGAGAGACGCACAAAGCTGGCGGACTAAAACCGTCCGGGAAAGTTGCCATGCACCTGATAAGTGACACATTCACAGCATATCCGCAAAGTGGGGGGTAAAAACAACTCAGGTGCTCTGGGGGTGAAAGGGAGGCTTCGGTCGCACATGAAGCCTCCAGGGGAGTCCTGCACTATTTTGGCCTTTAACGGCAAAGGGCGCCATGCCACACAGGGAGAGGGGTCGAGTGACCTCCATCCACTATAATTAAAACTGCTAAATGGACTCAGACATAACCCAAATTGTTTCTCGCGGATTCCGATCTCGACAAAGAATACGTTTGATGGTTTTACTTGCCTTTTTTCTTTCTTTCTTACCTTTGCGGTCACTTTGGTCTGCAGGCTAACTTTCAAAGTACTCGGTGGTGATACAAGAGCTGCCTTGGTTTTTGGCTGTTCAAGAACAAACACTGTCATGAAAAGTGTAAATTCCTGGAGCTGGTCAGTCTTTAAACTCCGAGACTGACCTTTGAGTAAATAACGATTATTTGTGTTACAGTTTATGTCTTTACGCGGAACTGTGCGTAAATGCAACGTTGCTTGAGGGACATTTCGAGCAATAATAACTTATATCTTCATACCTGAAAAGTAAAGCAGCTCTTAGAGGAACGGAAATGCGTTTATTCTGCAACAAGTGCGTTCCACCTGTCTCTTTCCCACGTGGGACAGGTGCAGGAGAAATTCGGGACATCCGAAGCATCCTGGACAACCGGCACTGGAGAATGGAAGACCCAAAACGTTACAGTGGCCACCTTGCAGAATCGAATGAGCCCCAGTGACCAGCAGGCAGTGTGGGACGCACGGCTGCTGCTTTGTGGCCTCTTTTTTTTTTTGGCATTCCACTGAACTCGCTTTGATATCTGTTCCGCGACGCATTTTCACTCCAAACGCCCATTCTTATCCATCTCGCCCTCAACCTGCTCACTCTCGCCCCCGGGACTTCACGGCATGTTATTTGTTTCTGTATGACTGACAGTTTAAAGCCATTAAA